TGTCTAAATTAAAGGAGCAATATGGAAAATGTGGCCAAAAGTGGTAGTGCACTCTTCTGACTCAGGTTGCCAGATATGCAGATGAATCCAGTTGGGACCATAATACAGTAGCTGAAAAGACAAGAGTTTTGTCAACAACAAATCTAAAACCAAAACCTTTTTTCACAAAGGCCCTGATAGAAATCCTTGTTGTATTCCTTGTTTTGTCATTTATGGTTTGAGAATCATAACAAGACCTTTTTTAGTTCTGCGGCTTTAAGGCATGGCAAGGCAAGTTTACCAGTTTACCAGTGAGATTAGCTGACGCAAGAGTTTAGCCAACCCGGATCACAGACTTTCTGATTGGTAAAACAATGGAGGCGGGACATCGAAATTAAAACAATACCAATATTTAGGGGATGTAAATCCAATTTGGAAATTCGAATATCTTGGCTGAACTACCAATCATCTATTTGAACGGATTTATTGTTGTAGATTGGTTGCAGCTTTTCGATGCTCCCACACAGTCTCCTTGCTCTGGACCCTTTCACTTAACCGGGCTTAAATCACACGCACACACACTAGACACAGGAACATTTGTCACCTCCAGCACAAGGCTGACTCAGCATCTCCTTAACAGTCTCGCTGGAGCATCGGCATGTGTGGGACATCCGGTCAAAGGTTGCGATTTTAAAGAATTGTATTGAGTCTGTGTGCATTGCTTGAGGTGAAATGGTTCCCTGATACACACTGAGTGACTTGGCAACCTTGGACCTATTGATTGGAGCATACACAATGGTTGTTTGTTCTGTTAAGAGTAATGCGAGGTATAAACATAAAGCATTGCTCAAACATGAATGAGAAGAATCTAAAATAACTAAACATTTGCTAGATTTTTGACGCTATAATGGTGTAGTTAATGATGTTGTTTACCTTTTAAAAAGGAGGAGGAGGAGGAGGAGGAGGAGGAGGAGGAGGAGAGGTGTGCTTCAAATGCACACATCAAAAACGTATAATAACCTTTGCAAGTACAGTGGATTTTGGGCTTAAAAAGCGTATGTTGTGGACAGAGTGTGTGGAGGCGATAACAGATACGTTATTTGATGGAAAGAAGTCCGTCTGATCCCCTTATCATCCTCAATGAACATGTGTTGCTTAAGCTTATGTATTCAGTCATTATTCAATGGTAAACTAAAAGGCCATGTGAAAAAAAAATACTTCTCACTGTTCTCAAGACAAACATTTATATGCAATTTAAAATGCGATTAAATAATCACAAAGCCTCTAATTAATTAGATTGATTTTTTTTATTGAGTCCCATCCCTAATATATATATATATATATATATATATATATATATATATATGTATATGTAAATATATTCTGCTTTTACAAAACACCTTCTATGGGTAAAAGCTGAACTCAGTCATTCATCCTGAAATTGATCAGTCCATTACCGTAACAGGGAGACATTTCTATGGTAAAATCTTGCAGGATTGGCAAAAATGGAAAGGCCCCTCTGAACCCAAACCAATTTTCTCAAACGGCCGTGCAGCCTTATCACTCTACATCGGTGCAATAGCCGCGTTAATCTGCCTGTGGAGGGACACTTACCTTACACGTAACCTTCAGAATGCTGCGGTAACCTGTCGATGAAGCACATCTCTAATCCTGTTACAGCCACCATTAAATCCCGCTGAGCCCGGACTGGTGAGATGAGGAGGCAGATTGTGGTAAAAAAATGTGAGAAATGTGTCAATAGTAATCTGCTTTTGTAATGAAGCATGATGGATGATTCAAATACAAAATCACTATTGTTATTTATTGGTCCAACAGAGGAGGTATGGATGTTAAAACTTAAAGATTCACAGAGACTTCTCAGGAGTGTTATTATCTCTGTGGCGATGGCAGAGTCTTGAGAGAAAAGTCAAGCCTTTTTGTTTAGTTTTATGGAAAATATTATTTGACTTGTGGAACATTCCAGGAAAAGCAATAGCATTTTCTACCTGAAAAGTTACTCCAGTTTAAGGATAATAACCTAACAGTTTTTAGTTGTTTTCGTTTGTTTAGAATTTAGCACTTTATAGATTTTTTTGAATCTTTAATAGGGGCTAAAACTAGTTAATAGGCTACTAAATGCTAACTGCTAAAGATTGTGTTGCTTTGGTAACTGGCACTTTCTCCAAGCTGAGATTGCCCTGAAACAGTCCAGGACCAGTCTAGTCTCAAATAATTCATGTAAATGAATGGAGCAGTCAAATTGAAGACTCCAGGAGTCAAAGGTAGGACTCCCGGAAGATTATTTCATGAAAAATAATGATATAATTGAAAATAATCTAGACAGTAGTAAATACACAGTAGTCACAAAGTAATGAAAACCCACAGCATATATATGCTAATAAGTAATTATGCTTCCAAAACTAAAAACCATCAATTTGACTGCTCAGGGAGTTCTAGTATTAAATGAGTTGATGTCTTTTCACTTTTTCAATAACCATAAAGCTTGGGCTTACATCTCCACATGTCTGTGTCGTATCTTGGTTAAATGCCGTCACCTCCTTATCTCTATGAGCACATTTGTGCATTCTAAGCAATAACATAGTGACAGTTTGATAAACCCTTTGATGCTCCTTCATAGCAGCAGCCTAATGTCATCTGGTGGCAGCGCTGGGGAGGAAATTGAAAAAAAAAACGTACATGTTATTTTTCTTTATATATTTTGTAACAACAGTTAAAACTACAACAATTGGCAAAACTGCAGATGTGCTTTATATTTCTGTTCTTTTGCCAATTTGGAACATTTTTATGCACTGTTATTGTTACACATTATGTTTTATTGTCAGTTTTTTTTTTGTTATCTCAGGTCATACATTCTCATAAATTCTACTTTGTTACACTTCTTCTGAATGTTCTGTCTCAGTCTCATGCACTTAAAAGAAATGAACGCTGTAGCATTAGAAACTGCTCTCTGGAGATTTTATTCATTTCTACCTTAACTTGACCTTATTTGATTTTATGAACTGCTGAGGCTGCACTTTACCTTCCCTGACTCCATGTCTTCTTTTGAGCTCTGTATTGCACGTACCAAAGAAGTGGGTCTGACCAGACTGGAGTGTGTTGAATACCAAAACCAAAACAGTAGTTAATTATTGCTGCTCACAAACACACTGGGATAATCCATTTTTAATAGCTCAAATTAAAGCAAAAACAGTCATTTCCAATCTTAATAGTATTCAGTATGACTGTTCAGGCTTCTTTTGTAACAATGTGGGTGTATTACCAGCGTTTGTTGAGAGAAAAAATCATGAAATAAACATGAATACATACGTGTATAGTATGCACAAATAGTAATTTATACATGTGAATAAAAGCTGGGGTATTTAACAGGTTTGCTCCATGAATAGTACATGTTGTTTGTCCCCATAAAAAATATAAATGAGGCGGAAAAAAAAGTTCTACCATGGGCAGACTATTTTAAGTTTATTATTTGAATGACTCTTGTATTTCATATTTGTTTGAGATGATAGCACGTGTAAAACAGGCTTCAGAGAATGAGAATTCCACATGAAATTCCAGTGCTGCTCTTTCACCAACATAACAAAAGCACATTGATTTTACAATGCTGTGTCCTTGGTTTTAGCGATTAGTGAAAGCACGGATTCTTTTCCACTGTGTAACCTTTTCACCTGTGTGTACAGTCAGGGCCAGTTTACACATGTTTTCTCTTTTCTTTCCCAGTTGTCTGGCAACTGTGTTTTTGAGAGTTAAACATACAAAAATAACATGAAGATTTTTTATCTTATTTTTACTGTACATAATTATAATCTAACTATATTTTTTTATCTTTAACATGTTTGCACACGTTAAAGGTTAAAATTAATGTGAGTTTTTTTTTACCTTTAAGTTTGCACACAGGGCTCAGTTTGGACCTTGACAGTTTGGACCTTGACATTGATTGTGGGTTTGATCCCACCACGACCCATGTCCTCTGCTCCCACTGATGTCTGCTGTCGTTGTGTCCCTGAGCAAGACACTTAACATGACGCACTTTGCCTGAAGTCCCCGCTGAAAGATGAAGGCTGTATCTGCTTTGAAGGAGCAGCCATCTTCCTGTGGACCCACCATCTGCAGGAGGATCAGCGAGGGACCGGTGCTTTGTGAATTGGGTTGCAGCTCTGATTTCCACCCCCCTGACCCAGAAATGGACTGATAAGAGGAAAATGAAATGAGATGTTTGCACACTTTTGACCTGAGTGATTCCTATCTATGCCAAATGTGACATGTAAAATTCTCCGGCGTGAGATCTATAAAGTCTGTCGTATCCTATCTTATCTTATCCTAGAATGGAAATCTTTGAAAACATATCTCCTATCATGTTGAAAGTCTGGCTCATGGACCTGGATGAGGTTTGAAGCTGTGGTGGCATCTCTCTTCTGGGTTTTGTGTTGTCCTTTGTGGTGGCGGGCGGCTCTCTGCTCCTGGTGCAGACTCCTCCTCGGATAATTTTTTTGCTCGTTTCACCTGATTCTAGGATTCTAAGTAAGTATATAGTAGTGTTTGTTTATATAGCGCATTTTACAGACCAAGGTCACCCAAAGCACTTTACAATGTTCAGAGTTCAGATATTATTCCAATCATTCCACACACGGTTATGACGGAAGCGAGTCGCCGAACACACAGGCCGAACATCCATTCACTCTCTCATTTACATTCATACCTATTTTGCATGTTCTTAGTGGTAGGGAAAACCGGAGCACCCGGAGGAAACCTACGCAGACACAGGGAGAACATGCAAACTCCACTCAGAAAGGCCTCGGTGGCTGATTGCTATCCAATCAGCCACCTTGCCGTAAAGCTGCATTCACACCGGATCATGCGTTGTGGCAAGGTTCCATGCAAAGTCAACGTTGACGTACATCGGTGCTAATATTTGCAGGTACGTCGCACGCATGTTTATCTGGCGCGGCTTAGGCAGTGGCTTTGGTGGCTCGATGCATGCGACAAACTGTTATTGCTGATATTTAACCACAGTTGAACCTGACAAATCACAAACAGACATAGTTAATCTTTTACTTGTTACCCATGTACAAGGGGAAAATGTCTTGACAGAGACAGAGCACAACTAGCTCCGCCTCTCTCAAGACAGGTCTGACGCTCAAACAGTCTGTAAGCTTCTTTTCATACTAACAGACACACCTTCATATGCAGATAGAAAAGGAAGAAGCAACAAAGCAAGGAACAATGACAAGACCTTCCTTATTAGCATGTTCAAAAAGCATGATTTAAAATGAGTCCCCCCAGACTTCCTGAAGCCTTCCCGGAGCCAACAGTGAATTACAACACAAGCTTTCTACAATACATTTTAACCACATATTATTTTTGAATTACAAATTATATTTTAAACAACATTCTAATGACGCAAACACAGGAGATGAGATTCACTGAACATCCTCACTCCACGCACATTCATCAACCAATCAGAGAACAGCAAAGTGGTTGCTGGGAAACAAAACGGGAAGATGAAAGACACTTGAAAAGAACCAAAACAGGAGCTAAACCAGGATTAAACCATGGGGCTGATCAGTGCTGTGAACTATATGTCTTCACTATGAGGTAAGATTCTACTGTCACTGTGAACAAGTGCTGCTTACGTGTTGGCCGATACAGAAGAGACCGTTAAAGATGCAGAAGCTATGTTGTTAGCTGTAGCACCAACTCAAAACCACTCCCCCTCCCCTCGTCTCTCCAACATTGTCTTTTCTTTGTCACAACAGGAAGAGTGGGTGGAAAACGTGAAATTGGCTTTTTCTGTCCAGCCCTTTTAGGTTTTCGAAAATAATCCGATAACTCAGGTGCGTGCACTCGCGAGAAACAGGAAGAGGGTGAAGGGGGTAAACGCATCCCATTGGTTTGATGGGGATGAACGAATCCCATTGGTTTATTTTTCTCGGTCCGCTCCAAAATATTCTTTATTAATTTTTGGAGACTATATAGACATCTGGTCAATTCCAATATACTATTTGAAAACACAGGATTACTTGACTATTTTTAGGGTTTAGGGACGTTTTCCCACAAAATTTCTCTGGAGGGACACAGAGAAGCTGCAGAGCTCATCTCAAAACCCTCATCTAAAAGCGGAATTAAAATTGAGAACAAAATGCTACTTTTGCTTCCTGTAAAATCATGAAATGAATGAATTAACACTATCCAAGAGTGAAATGATTCTCGTTTGAATAGAACTGCAACACTCCGCATCGTTCAACACGCCGTCTTGCAAATGGCTTCTCGCCCCACACAAACAATATTGATCATTGTTTTGCATGAATCTTTAAATAATGTATTTGCTGTTGTATTATGTATATCTACCTGGGGTAATAGGATCTGGCTCTCGCTACATTAATACTAAATCAATGCAAAGTCACACCATAAGGTCACTAGTTTCCATCAGACATAGTATAATGTTTAATCTCCCTTGTGCTCTGCATGTTATAAATTCTCACAGTCAACATCAACGCTTTTATTTACAACTTTGTGATGTTGAAAGGGGTCCGAGGCCTTGGCGAGGACCCTATTAATCTGGTTCCCGTAGGTAATGGTGATGTTGGCTATTGTCACAAATCCAATACATTATTTACTAAAAGCCATTATAAAACAATGTATATTAATGAACAAACAAACCAAGGCCAGAGGGTAGGAGCCATAATCCTTCCAGTCCTATTTCTTTTAGCCTTCATCGAATGTTAAAATACTCTGGCTCAGAGCATTTTATGCTCAGTCTCTGGGGTCTTTTCACTCACAAAATCCGTCTGTGTGAATCACCTTTGCGGTCAACCGCTATAGATAAAGCTCCACTGGAATATGTAATAAAAACCTGTATGGCAACGTCCACGGACATAAATATTTGATAACTTACTGAATAATGTCCCTAGTCCATAGCTTTGACTCTTGAGGTAGAAGAGAAAAAGAAAGCACATGATCATATAAAAAGCAACCCAGCCCATCATCCAACTTACTTGGAATGGTCAGATACTACCACACAGGGCAGATATGGCAAAAAGGTCATATATATATCAAATGTATTGCTACATCAGGACGTTTATACTGGTGGTGAGTAGCCTCTCCTGCAAGAAAACTGGGAAAAATGCTTTCTGCTCCCACTGTTCTCATTCATTCCTTCTCCTATGAAACTGTTGAATAGTCTGAAGAAATAGTTATATTCCTTGTTTCCAACTGTAGCTCCTGATGCACTGTGGAGAATCTGTGAAGAATGTCTTGTTGTTGATTTCAATCTCTTCTTATTTAATATTGACTGGACTATGGCTCTGTGAACAATGTATGGTACTGTATCCGTCTACTTTCATTTTACTGATTTACAACAACCTGCTCAGAGACTAGGTGTGGACAAGCACTACTGCTGCAACCTGGCATAACGCATCTATCATTTGGCGAATGTTTGAAATGAAAATAAAAACCATACCAACTGAATTGCTCTTTGGAATAAGTAGTTGTTTGATTCAAAATGGCAGCCATATCCACTAACCTTTGAAATACACAGCGGCTTAACAAGAGAAGTCTTTAGAACCAGGCTCTAAAGCTGTCTTAAAGTTGTGAAAAGTTGCTATGTGAACACAATCAGTTCCATTGAGCTTCACAGAAAACTAACTGATAAACAGAATAAAAACAGTGAAAATGACAGCAGTGTTTTATATAAAGTACTATATATATATGTGTTGCTTCCAACCTGAAAGTGTTTTCACATGATGCAAGTGTGTCCTTTTGTCCTCTTAGTTTGATTTTGACAAATGATTGTTTAGTTTTTGATAGAAGAGTTTGAGTTTTGAGAGTAGCGTTTGAGTTTTGATAAAGGAGTTTCATTTTGACTCAGATGTGTTTGGTTTATGTCCCAGTGTTGTGTCAGGTTATTTTGTGTGTAGAGTTTTGGGACAATAAGCAAAATATTGCTAAATGTGTTCAAGCAATAAGAAAAAACAACTGTAAATGGATAAAGAGAATGATTAGTATTCAAAGCGAATGGGAGCCAAACCTAGTTGGAGAAAAACTTTGCCTATGAGCACCTGCCCACTTCATCGCACTAGTAGCTTAGCATTGTTCATCTACATTCAGTGTGTCTGAGGCATGAGGGGTTAAATTCAATAGAATTCTGTGAATGTTTTGTATAGCCCTAAATAACAGCAGCAGTCGCCTCGGAGGACTTTACAAAGGTAAGATATGAGAATCAAACCGTTCAAAAAACAGGAATCAGTCATCGGTCAATAGTGGGGGAGAGAATGTGCAACATTTACCTAGTCTGCCCTTACATTGCTTGGGCGACCGTCCGCAGCTGAGCCACCGTCTGTGCCCGGCCTCTCTCCTCGCTCTCACCTCTGGCTCTCATGTGTATGTCGCAGGGCCCTTCACTTCGCAGAGCACAGGGGCCGCATTCACCTGCACTGCCATTGCCGCTCCGCATCAACAGCCAGCCAGTCCAACCAACCATCCGCATAACCTCCACTGCCCCGGCTGTCGACTCCACGCCGTCAATCCACATTCCACCACCAAGAGCTTCTTGACATATTTCAGATCACTTCCCTCTTTCTTTCTAAAACATTTTGTGGGTGCCAGACCTCAGGAAATAGTCAAGGATAGAGGGTGGAAAAATTCAAGCGGAGATTGATAGATGAATGCTGGCAGCATCAGAGCAGGAGAGGTGGGTTTTTGAAAGTAAAAAGTGTGGTCTATTCAATTAAATTTAGTGGAGAGGAGTGAGTGCACGGAACACTATATTGGAGAAACAAAACAAACTCTACAAAAACGACTTTACCAACGTGGTAGAGAAAATTCTAGTGGGCCACAATCGGCTATACATCTCTATCTCAAGGCCACCAATCAGGTTCAAATTCTGGCTCGAGACAAAAATTGGTTTGAGAAAGGGGTGAAAGAAGCCACTTTTGTGAGGAAACACAAACCATCCCTCAACAGAGGAGGCGGTTTACAGCCGCGTTCAGACCGGATCATGCGTTGCATTAACTTTAAATACAACGTCAATTGTGACGCGCGTTCGAGCGTGGAACTGCATGTGCGTCTCGGGATGCATGCACGGACTGTGCAGCAGAAGCGCAGGAGCGGAAATTCGACACACGCAGGAGATGTATTACTGAGCGTTTCCTCGAGACGCTGTTTTCAACAGCTTCAACCTTCTATTTACACTTGTTTGCACTGTACTCTTGCAAACACTGCTCCTGACAGGTTTATTATGTCAGACAATAAAGACGTACATAACTTTTACTGGAAGTGATGTGAAATGGATTTCATCGTGCAGAATGCCCAACTTTACCTTGAGTAGAAACTTTGCGACTGAAGCCTCAGTTTAGACGCCCAACCTGGTCTTTCAGCTTACACCCTCGAGTGAAGATCTCCCAAAAACACTCTGGTCTTGTTTGATGAACACATGATGAACACATAAGACACCCTTATGTCCCATATCATTAAAAACATTTGCAATTTGAAGACAATCCTCCTATTTTACTTTATAAGATGTCAAAAAACTGGCTAAAGTTGGTTTCCCCTTCATTTTGTCAAGTTTAAAAAACACTAAGAACATTGCTGCTTGGTCACAGAAAGTAATATTTTGTTGTTTTCAAATAAGCTCTATTTTGAAGTTATAATTAGCCCACCACCGTAAGTTTTCACGGCCTGCCAAGCGTCAGCTAAAACACTGTGGACTTTCAGCGGACTTGAGATTGGGAGGGAACTGTATATGATCCGCTCCGCTGCACATGAGCTGATCCATACGGCCCTCTCGCACTACCAGGCCCTCCAATTTGTCTGTTTGCCTCTCCAGCAGAACTCTTACAAAGGCGCAAAGTGATGTGTTGTAACATAGAGCAGATGTGAGAGCACTTACACCAGGCTTGGTTTGAAACTGGAGTTGAGCGTGACAATAAGGCCACAGATCCAAGTTGTTTAAATCAAGTTCAACTGTGTTTGTATTATCTCTTATCACACAATTTAGAAATAATACTGTTACTGCTGATTGTGATTGTGTGATTGTCGTGAATCAATTGTTATGTTGCGGTTGAGATATACCTTTGATTTTGGTTGCAGATGAAACAATTGTTATGGTGCAGAAGACAGCAAAATTTTCAAAATATCATTCCAGTTTGGCTGTAATTGTATCATGTAATTGAAGAAATACAAAACTGGAACAAATGTAAAGAGGAAATATATTGTGACCTACATTACAATAATATACTCTGATTACATGAAGTCTGCTGCTGTGACGTGAAGGGCTGTTGCTTATTATTACTATTGTTAGCTTTTTAGAATGATCAATTTAATTTTAATTTTTGCTGCTAATGGACACGTGCACTTTCTTCTTATTATTATTTCTCCTACGGGGGATCAATGCAGTATCTATCAAACTATCTATCTAAAATGTAAGTGCAAAAAAATCTGTGTCTCCTTCTGGTGATGTCAGGGGTTCTAGAATAACCGACTTCCTGTACCGAGGTGTGTCAAAGTAAGCAGTACTGCAGGGCTGCTCTGTGCACCTTTTTAGTAAACTTTTAACAACTTTTTAGCGCGTTTTTATTGTTCAGTTTTTTAATATATCTGAGTGTTTTATCTTTTTAATTCAGTGGTTTCAGCAAATAGCACTTAGTCCCGACTGAAACCCACTAGTAGCACAGAGGCTAACACAAGCTAACGAGGACATGGAAAGTGACAATGAAATTGGCTCAAACATGCACAATATTAGTCGCCTCACCTTGGAGCTCCGTGAGAGCGACCGTGCCACCATTGCAGATCTACGAAAAGAAGTCCTTCGTCTCACCGCAGAGTTGAATGAGAAACAATCTCTAGTGTCCAAACTTTTTGAAGTCGCTGGTGGGCAGCATTCACGGCTTATGTCACTGAGCGCTGCATATTGTGACACTGTCGTGTGGGAGAGATCCGTCAGCTCCGGACCCTCCTGTTCTACACCTAAGCGCCCGCTTCCGAATAACGAGCCCGCGGATTCCGAGGAGCCATCCTGCGCCGTGGCCCATGTCCTGAGTCTGGCAAACCGCTATGCAGCCCTCTCCACCGACATCCCGGCCCCCTCAGCAGAATCCCTGGACACTGCAGCGTACTCTACTGCTCGAGGATCCAAGTCCACTGCGAGGAAAACGCTCCTAAAGGAAGCAGTCCTCAGGCGAAAGAGCGGTCCACCAGCCATGTTGGCCTGTTCCCCTTCTTTGACCCCAGTGCAGCAGCCTCAGACTGGGGTAGCGAGCCATCATCACCACCGCTCACCTCCACCGGGTCAGCAGCAGCGCCCAGAGCCAGCCCCTCTCACCGCTCCAGCGTCCCCGAGCACACAGCGTGGGTCGCCTGTAGCTGAGAGTCAGCACCCCCGCTCCTCCTCTCCATGTGTTCAGCGGCGCTCAGGCTCGGGTCCTGCTTCGGGTGAACCCGCTGGTTCCGTCCACCGAGCTCCTTCTCCGAGGCCACTCTTCGCCCCGACCACTCTGATTATTGGAGATTCCATAGTGAGACACGTCCGCTTCTTTAACGCGGTCACTCGCTGTATTCCCGGAGCTACTGTACCAGACCTGCTCATACGTCTCCCTCCTCTGCTTCAGTCCCTGCCTGATACCGTTTCCAAGGTAGTCGTGCATGTGGGAATTAACGACATGAAACTTCAGCAGTCAGAAGTCACGAAGAAACATTTTATGGATCTGTTCCACCTCCTTCAATCCTCCGGACTATCTGTTTTTATTTCTGGTCCAATCCAGACTGTAAACAGAGGTGACTGCCTCTACAGTCGTGTTGTGGCGCTGCATGTGTGGCTTCAGGCTACATGCAGCTCTTTTAACTTTGTCTTTGTGAATAACTTTGCCCTTTTCTGGAAACGTTACGAAGCCTATCGTCCAGACGGATTACACCCAAACAGATACGGTAGCAGCCTGTTGATGGATTACATACGTTATGTTGTTCAGCGTTCCCCGAGGGGGGCGTGACTGTTTACATCTGAGCCCCCTCGGACCCCACCGCACTCCCCCGCCTCCTGCTCACCAGCACCGGGTGAGTACAACGGTGCAAACACTGCTCCCTGTCCGTCTGGCAGTGCATTACCAGTCCAAACACTGAACTGTGCTGACTTCCTTCTGACTCTGGGAGCTAAAGAACAACAACAAGGGTTTTCACATTTTAGGCCAATTGAGACTGTGTGTGTTCCTCGCACCAGCTCAAAAATGTTTTTAAATTCTAAAAAACGAAATCAAAACAGGACAGCAGTTAGACGGTCCAACTCTGCAAATCTAATTTCTGTTCCCTGTAGAAATCAATCAACCACATTAATCGACTCTGACGTTATTTTTAAACTTGCTATGCTTAATGTCAGATCTCTATGTAACAAATCATTTTTAATTAATAATTTTATCACTTCTTATGATCTTGATTTTATGCTTATGGCTGAAACATGGCTCGACCAAAATACAGGAAATGCAGTTCTAATAGAAGCAACACCACCCAATTTTAAATTCGAATCCGAAATACGAGAAAACAAAAGGGGGGGAGGCATAGCTGCAGTTTTTAGAGAGCACTTTGTCTCCCATAGAATGCCCCTTGGAAATTTTTCATCGTTTGAGTATATTTCTTTTAAAATGGAACAAAAGCAATCTTCTACTCTTTTCATTGTCCTGTACAGGCCACCACAGTCATGTTGCGATTTTATTGACCATTTTACTGAACTACTTTCATTCGTGTGCACAGATTTTGATAGTTTAGTTATTACAGGTGATTTTAATGTACATGTTGATAATGTTGATGACAGAAATGCAAAGGAGCTGGCTTCTGTATTTGAGACCTTTGGTTTCATTCAGCACGTGAGTGGCCCCACCCACAGCAGGGGGCACACTCTTGACCTGCTAATTACAAAGGGGGTTAATGTATCAAATGTTAATGTAGTTGATGTTGCTTTGTCAGATCATTTCTGTGTATTTTTTGACATGTGTTTTGCTAGCAAACCACCAGCTGAATTTACAACTGTTAGAAGAAGACACATACATGAAAACACAAGTGAACTGTTCATGGGAATGCTAAATTTTGAGAAAACTCCATGCTCTACTGTTGATGAATTGTATAACTCTGTCACCACCAGTGTTCTGACTGTTCTGGACGCCATTGCTCCTGTGACGGTTAAAATAGTTACCAGTAAGAAAAAGGCCCCATGGACTAAGGCAGACTCGGTTAGGGCACAGAAGCAAGAGTGCCGGAGGGCCGAACGGAAGTGGCGAAAGTCCAATTTCCAGGGCGATTATGAAATCTTTAAAGATGAGTTGGGTGAATTTAACCGGGTTCTACGTAGAACAAGAGAAATGTATTTTTCTGACATTATTGGAGGTTGCAGTAACAATTTTCGTGTTATGTTTTCAACAGTTGGTAGATTAACGAACCCCCCTGTAAAGTTGCCCCTAGAATTTTCCTCTAAATCTAGGTGTAATGAGTTCGCACAGTTTTTCGATGACAAAGTACAAGGAATCAAAAACACTATCACCTCCACAGCAC